ATCGCAGCCCCCCAGGGATGGCGAGGTCTAATATGAATCTGCGCATGGCCCCACTCCGCTGGGCCCCCCAGCAGCCTTCGAAAGTGGCGACAGCTTCGCACACCGCAGCCCCCCAGGGATGGCGAGGTCTAATCCGAATCTGCACATGGCCCCACTCCGCTGAGCCCCCCAGCAGCCATCGAAAGTAGCGACAGTTTCGCAGATCGCAGCCCCCCAGGGATGGCGAGGTAGGAGACACATTGGCACGCAGGAGCGAGCGAGGTAGGAAGCAGGGGGGAAGAGGGAAGGAGGAGGGGGCGGGAGAGGAGAGGAGAGGAGTCGCGACCGCAGCTGCTCTACTCATGACGAGAATCCAGCGCTGGAGGTTTGGAAAAAATATCCTGGCGAAGGACCCAACCATGAAGTTGTGGGCACCGCTAATGTGAATACCTTCTTCGGGGAAGCTCCCTATGAGGCCACGAAGCGCTGCGCTGGGCGGGAGGGGGAACGCATGCGGGCGGTAGCACAGGGGCCGTCGGTGAAGCTCCCTATGAGGCCACGAAACGCTGCACTGGGTGGGTGAGAATACCAAATTAGGCGTGTGCGACGCATTCGGGCGGCCCCATTGGGGGCTTCGGTGGAGCTCCCCATGGGGCCGCGAAGCGTTGTAAAGGGCGGGTGGGAATGCCAAATTGGGTGTGGGGGGCGCATGCGGGCGGCCCCACTGGGGGCTTCGGTGAGGCTCCCTATGGGACCACGAAGCGCTGTACTGGGCCGGTGAAAATGCCAAATTAGGTGTGGGTGACGTATGCGGGCGGTCCCACTGGAGGCTTCGGTGGAGTTCCCTGTGGGGGGCGCGCGCGGGCGGTCCCACTGGGGGCTTCGGTGGAGCTCCCTATGGGGCCACGAAGCGCTGTACTGGGTGGGCGAAAACGCCAAATTGGGTGTGGGGTGGCACGCGGGCGGTCCCACTGGGGGCTTCGGTGGAGCTCCCTATGGGGCCACGAAACGCTGTACTGGGCGGGTGACAATGCCAAATCGGGTGCGGGGGACGCATGCGGACGGTCCCGCTGGGGGCTTCGGTGGGGCTCCCTATGGGGCCACGAAGCGCTGCACTGGGTGGGTGACAATGCCAAATTGGGTGTGGGGGACGCACGCGGGCGGTCCCACTGGGGGCTTCGGTGGAGCTCCCTATGGGGCCACGAAACGCTGCACGGGGTGGATAAAAAAATACCAAAATTCGATGTGAAGGACGCATGTGGGCGGTCCCACTGGGGGCTTCGGTGGAGCTCCCAATGGGGCCACGAAGCGCTGTACTGGGTGGGTGAAAATGCCAAAGTGGATGTGGGGACGCATGCGGGCGGTCCAACTGGGGGCTTCGGTGGAGCTCCATATGGGGCCACGAAACGCTGCACCAGGTTGGTGAAAATACCAAACTGGGCGTGTGGAGGACGCATGCGGGCGGTCCCACTGGGGGCTTCGGTGGAGCTCCATCACGAAACGTTGTGCTGGGTGGGTGACAATGCCAAGTTGGGTGTGGGGGACGCATGCGGGCGGTCCCACTGGGGGCTTCGGTGGGGCCCCTTATTGGGCCACGAAACGTTGTACTGGGTGGGTGAAAATGCCAAATCGGATGAGGGGGAACGCATGTGGCCGGTACTACTAGGGGTTTCGGTGAGGCTCCCTATGGGGCCACGAAGCGCTGTACTGGGCCGGCGAAAATGCCAAATTGGGCGTGGGGGGGCGCATGCAGTCGGTCCCACTGGGGGCTTCGGTGGAGCTCCTTATGGGGCCACGAAACGCTGTATTGGGTGAGCGAAAGTGCCACATTGGGTGTGGGGGACGCACGCGGGCTGTCCCACTGGGGGCTTCGGTGGAGCTCCCTATGGAGCCACGAAACGCTGGGCTGGGTGGGTGAAACGCATGGAAGAAGGAGGAGGGAGGGGAGGAGGAGGAGGAGGAGGAGGAGGAGGAGGAGAAGGAGGAGGAGGAGGAGGAGGAGGAGGAGGAGGAGGAGGAGGAGGAGGAGAGGGGAGGAAAAGGAGGAACGCGGGGACCGTCTCTTCAAAACGAGGACCCAACACCACAGGATAATTGGGAATATATATATATACTTATATATATACATGGTTATATACATATATAAAAATATTAATGACGACGATGACACTAATACTTATGTTTTTTTTGCGACGCACCCAGCGCGCGCGCAATGCGGGGCACGAGTAGCCTGGGACACGTTGCACAGAGGTGATGGTGAGCCCTCGAAGATGGCGACAGGCTCGCAGATCGCAGCCCCCCCCCGGGTCGGCGAGGTCTACCTCAGGTCTGCGCGGTGCCCCACTGCGCTGGACCCACCAGCAGCCTTCGGAGGCGGCGACAGTTTCGCAGATAGCAGCCCCCAGGGACGGCGAGGTCAACCTCAGGTCTGCGCGGTGCTTCAGTCCGCTGGACCCACCAGCAGCCTTCGAAAGTGGCGACGCGCTCGCAGATCGCAGCCCCCCCCAGGAGCGGCGATGTCTACCTCAGGTCCGCGCGGTGCCTCATTCCGCTGGACCCACCAGCAGCCTTCGAAAGTGGCGACAGCTTCGCAGATAGCAGCCCCCCAGCGACGGCGAAGAGAGAGCAGGCGGAGGCGGGAGGCGGGGGCAGAAGGAGGCAGACGCGACCGCGGTGCTCTATTCAAAAAATACCCATCCAAGGAAAATCTGAGGGGGAGGAAAAAATATTAGCCTGACGAAGGACCCAACCATATGCAGGTGTGAGTACCGCAAGTTTGATTCACTTTTTCGGTGGTGATCCCTATGAGGCAACGAACCATGGTAGGGGCGTGCCGAAATGAGCGGCGTGGTACACAACGCGAACGAAAACTATTGCTCTGAGTACGTAGGGAGACTGAGCGCGGGTGAATATGAGCGCGAGTGCGTCTGACTGTGAATGAATTTGCGTGCGATCGATTCTACGTGCATGAATGCGAGTACGACAAAGCATGGTGCAATTGTATATGAAGGTCAATAGTTTGAAAATGACTGCCTCTGGGTACTCGTGACGCTGGGCGTGGCCGCCGCGAGGAGCTTCCCCCGGACTCCCCGACGGCATCGCCTGCGCGCCGCGACGCCAATGTCGGTGCGCCCCCCCGCGAGGATCGTGCCCGCTTCCTCCCCTTCTTTTATTCCCTCTTTGCCCGTGCACTCAAAAGTCCAAGGCTGCGGGCGCAGCGCAGCGCGGAGTCCCCGCGACGCGCGCAGGTCGCCCCGCAGGGGTCCCAGCGACGCGCGCGGGTCGCCCGCTGCGCGGAGCAAAGAGAGCTAGCTGGCTGGCTGATAGCGGGCAAGGCTCTTGCCGCTGGGCGGAGCGACGAAATAAGCGGCGGGGGCGCATGCGGACTGTGCCACTGGGACTTCCGGCGGAGCTCCTATGGGGCCACGAAACGTGTGAGGGGTGGGCCGACATGAATGGCGGGGACGCGTGCGGACTGTGCCACTGGGACCTTCGGCGGAGCTCCTACGGGGCCACGAAACGTGTGAGGGGTGTGCCGACATGAGTGGCGGGGACGCATGTGGATTGTACCAATGTGACCTTCGGCGGAGCTCCTATGGGGCCACGAAACGTGTGAGGGGTGTGCCGAAATGAGTGGCGGGGACGCATGCGGACTGTGCAACGGGGACCTTCGGCGGAGCTCCTATGGGGCCACGAAACGTGTGAGCGGTGTTCCGAAATGAGCGGCGGGGAGGCATGCGGATTGTGCCATTGGGACCTTCGGCAGAGCCCCTTTTATGGGGCCACGAAACGTGTGAAGGGTGGGCCGAAATGAGTGGCGGGGACGCATGCGGATTGTGCCACTGGGACATTCGGCGGAGCCCATATGGGGCCACGAAACGTGTGAGGGGTGGGCCGACATGAGTAAAACGTCTGAGGGGTGTGCCGAAATGAATGGCGGGGACGCATGCGGACTTGGGCCGAAATGAGTGAAACGTGTGAGGGGTGGGCCGAAATCAGTGGCGGGGACGCATGCGGATTGTGCCACTGGGACCTTCGGCGGAGCTCCTATGGAGCCACGAAACGTGTGAGGGGTGTGCCGAAATGAATGGCGGGGACGCATGCGGGCTGTGCCACTAGAACCTTCGGCGGGGCCCCTATGGGGCCACGAAACGCTGTACTGGGTGGGGGAGACGCATGCGAACTGCGCCACGGGGACCTTCGGTGGCGCTCCATGTGGGGCCACGAAACGCTGCACTGAGGAGGGGGGAGACGCATGCCAACCGCGCAATTGGGACCTTCAGTGGAGCTCCCTATGGGGCAACGAAACGTGTGATGATGGTGATGATGATTGTTTTGATGATGACGACGATGATGACGATGGTGATGAGGATGAGGATGATGATGATGACGACGATGACGATGATGATGATGGTGATGATGAGAGGATGGGAGGAGGGAGAAGGAAGGAGGAAACACGGGGCGTTGTCTCTTCAATTCGAGGACCCAACACAGGATGGTTGGAAAAACACAAACAAACAAACATTATCTTGGCGAATGTTTTGTGCTCCGTGTACCACAGCGCGGACTTGTAGCATCGAGTCAGAGTGTGGAATCATGGCATGGAACCGTAGCACGGAGCCGCAGGGAGCCACGCCATGGAGTCTCGGCGCGGAGGCGCACTGCGGAAGCAGCGCGGATGGTCGCGCGCCGTTCTTCGGGATCCACGATGGGAAGTTGCTTTGTGAACTCACGCAAACGAGGGACATTGAAAAACATGTATACATTCATAACCGCACACAAAGTACATGTTTGAAAACATGCCGACGTTGGCGCGCAAGTTGCCCGCGCCAGGTCGCGCAGAAGCGCCCTCTGTGCACGCGGCGTGCTGCATTGGCGGCTCGCGTAAGCCATCGCGCGCAAGACTTCACGCGTCATCGTGCGTAAGGCTCTTGTCTGTTCTTCGCTCAGATGGATCCAATCTGTCCGACTTCACGCTTCCCCGCTCAAGAGCTCCACGCTGAGCTCCACGCTGCAGTGGAATGCTGAGATTACAAGCTGCTCATGAGCGAGCCGCGCACCCGCGGCAGCAGATCACGTGGCACCTACAGCATGCAGCAGATCTTGTCCCATCGGGCGACGATTGCTTGGGAACGTTCTCCTCGAGGTGGGGGGGAGGGGAAGAGGATCGATGTTCCCGATCGAATGTGATTGGATATGGTTCTTGTCCGGGTCCCCAGGCTCCAATGCACGCCTGCAGGGACCTCCAGAGACGTTCGGGACCTGCCGAGGGCGAGGCTATGAAAGTGTGGCCATTGGCCAGCGTTTTCCCGTTGCTCAAGTCCTTGCTCCCACTTTCCCCTTTGCCGCTCCGCATACTTCGTTGCCCCACCTCCCCCTCTTCCACAACCTTTGCTGCTCAAGCGTGCGTGTGGACAAAGTTGTCAACCCCGCTGCCTGGACCTTTACGTTTCAGCGCTCCACGCAATCTGACTCCATCAGGCCAACCACACGCTGGAGCTAGTTGAGTGCGGCGGCGGCGACCTCTTGGATGCAGTTTGGCGGGATTGTGGCGTCACACCCAGTGACTTTGCAGAACTCATTGGGGAATGGCGCAGGCATGTTGCCCGTGACTTTGATGTCGTGCCCCTCAGGTCAGCCGCAGCCCGTTGGACGTCGCCCTTCCAGCGCCAGTAGGTTCGGGCTGAAGACGAGCTCGGTGATAAACAGGTTGGCGAGTGTCATGCAGTCCAAGAAGGCCCGGGTCGACCTGCTCGCTCATGTGAGCCAAGAGGCGGAGAGCCTATCCTGCTACCGAGACCGTTGCTTCCAAGACCGCCAACATGCTAAGTGCGCGCGAGCCTCTTCAGCAGCAGGGCACGGATCCGGTGACGACCTGGAGCTGGTGCTGCGCGTGCCGTTGCATTTGGCACTCGCGACCGCCGTTGGCGATACTGGCGTCTCTATCACGACACCCACTGCAGACACGCTCGGCAAGCTGCGGGGCAGTGGCAAGTCCAGATGCGCCATCTTCAATGCCCTGAGGCATGGGCCACAGAGCGGCTGCGAAGAGACGTGGACGCTGGAGTGCCAGTCCCCGGGGGCCGCGCTCCAGCTTCTCGATCGCCTCCAGTTGGCTGGTTGCATCCTCCAGGACATGCGGCGGAGGTACGCGCTACTCGACGTGATCGGCGAGGGCGCCTTCGGAAGGGTCTTCAGAGCAGAGGATATGCGCACTGGATCGCCTGTGGCCATCAAGGTGTTCGTTGCACGGAACACACAGTCATTGATGCACCCTATTCTTGAGGCTGGCCTCCTCAGATCATGTCGCCACCCTAACATTCAAGCTTCCCATGGTCTCTACATTGTGAGTGAGACGGAGCTCCAGGACTGGCTCGGCATCGACTCGGCCTGCACGTACGCAATGGTAACCGAGTACGCCAACGGCGGGGAGCTGCTCGCGCGCCTGCAGAATGGCCAGGCGATGACGGAGGACCAGGCGCGCCGCTTAACGAAGGAATTGTTGTCAGCCGTCAGTTTGTTGCACAAGAACTCAGTGGTCCACAGGGACATAAAGCCCGAGAACAGCCTCCAGCTGAACCACGTGGTGGTGGCCAGCAACATCCAGCCCCTGCTCGAGATCATCGGGCAGTCCTCGACGATCTTCAAGAGCACGGCGGAGGTAGACGACCTTATCATGTTCACGGTGATGGGGGAGACGAATAGGATCGATCAATGCAATGACATATCCTCGGTGAGCGACGTCATGACCATCAAGACGAAGCCCGAGGCCGGCAACGACGGCATCTCCAGCGAGACAGCCACAGGGGAGAAGCGTGAACCTTCTTGCACATCAGTTCCTTGGTGGGTGACATGTTCAGTGTTTTTACTGACAGCCATATTCTTCTTGATGTGGGGCATCAAGTGCATCGCTTCGAGTATCATGACAATGGGTATCATGATGATTTCGAACTTCAACTATACGAACTGTCTCTCTGAGATACCGTGGGTTGGTTCAGATTTTGACAGGGGCAACCTCGACACGGAGGTTGGCAATTTTGACGACGACTTCACGTTCGGGATGATCATTCACTACATCATCACGACAATGGGTATCAAGATGATGGTGAACCTTGACTACACAGACAGTATCTCAGAGATACCGTGTGCAGGTTCAGATTTTGACAGGGGCAACTTCTCAAGTGAGGTTGGCAATTTTGAGAGGGCGCTTATCAATGACACGATGTGCAGCTACTTCAGTACGACAGTGAATCGGATCGATTCAAGTTTTGGAAGATCAGATTACCAAACAGAGCAAGGTATCGCGACTCACATGATGGACATCAGTGGGATCCAGAAGACGAACGACCACATGAACGACGAGGACAACAACTGCACCATGAGGGAGAGACAAGGGCAGCCACAGCTCATGTCTCCTCCTTACTGGACAGGTGTTAACCTGGAGATTACTGCAGCTTGGGAGAAGAATGTCACAACTCCATCCGACGAGTGCATCCCTCCCACTCCTACCGACAACGGGCAACACGACTGCAATATAAGGGAGAACCAAGGGCAGCCACGGCCTGTGGATCTCTCTGACTGGACAGGTGCTAACCTGGAGGCTACAAATGCCTGGGAGAAAGATGTCGCGCTGAGGCCCATCACTCCCAATTTCGCCAAAGACGGCTCCTTCTGCATCTCATGGACGATGGCTCGGATCTCATGGTTCCGCAAAGTCAAGAATGCCAGATCTCACCAGACGCAGCAGGACGCCCAGTCTCAATACCACGCCGAGCATGGCAACACTCCACCAGCACGCAGGTCTGGTTTCGCACCGAAGACTGGATCAGCCGCTCGGATCACTGCCAACACTCGGACAGTCAATATCATGTGCGCAGCTACTGCAACGACACTCACGGACAAACAAAAGAAGCAGTTGGCAAGCGACTCCAAACAATTCAGCATGATTTACAAACTCTTCTCGACAGACTTCGACACGAAGAAGGCCGAGATCAAAGCCAAACTCAATGAATGGTCACAGGACAAACCCCCACGAGGAGAGGACGGCCAACCATCGACCAAGCGTCCCAAAAAGAAGAAGATCTCAACGACACACAACGGGGACAAGCCACCCCCGAATGAGAGACTTCACGAGAGCGGCCTCAGACTACGGAACATGTGGGAAATCCCAGTCTTAGACGAACCACCAACATCGGAGTCGAACGGGATCTACCTCGCAAAGTCCGACGCAGATGTTATCAATATAATGGAATGGATCGACAAGAACAACACGGATTTTCCTAATTACGTGGCTCTATCGGTCTCAACTCCTTCTGAATGCCTGAAAGCTGCGGCCATTGCTTACAACATCAAGCCTGTGCCATACCAGCTACCAGTGACAAAGGAGACCACGAACAACGACGGGACAACCAAGTCGATTGTGGGAACTCGAGACGGCTATCTATGGAGCATTCCGCCTACTCTAAGCGACGACCCTGTGGAACCACCAAAGTACCGAGCTGTGACTCCTGCAGCTCCAGCATGGTCCAAAGGGTTCACCAACTCGATCGCAGTGATATCAGAAATACATGCAGATGAGATCTACAAGACTCTTCTCAAGCAGCACAAGATTGGCTCTTCGTCTTTGGACAAATTGAGAAACCATGGCAACGACTTAGACGCTGAGGCTAAGAAACACAATTGGAAATTGGTACGAGCTGCTAAACAGGAGGCGAAGGACTTCCTCCAAGCACACATCACGAAGGTCTACTCGGCAGCTACAGCAACAGACTTGGACATCACGATCAACTCCATCAAGCAATACGACGGAGCTGCCAAAGGACAGGCTACGTTACGCATCGACGTGACGACCACAACCTCAATGGCACGCATTCTTCGACAATCATCAGGTACTGACGGGATCTTCTTTGACACGGCAGGGTACGATGGGATTGGGAAGACTCGTGAGCGCACAACGGAGACCTGGATCCCACTACGGGCGAAGCAGACAGGACACTGGACGACGCAGGAAGCCCACGAGGAACTGGACAAAATATCAGAGCCCACATACGGAATGAAATTATGCCGAGATGGGGTGACTATCAAATTGAGAATACGGAAAGAAGACACTACCGCAGGGTGGCAGCTCATCAGGAAAGAGGACGCCCCGCCAACAGAAAGATATCTCCTCGACAAGATACCCGTTGGGACACCGACAGAGGCTATTCCAAAAATACTTCTGGAGACCATGTCCTGGGTCGTGCAATATCCATCAGCACAACGGAGAGGGAAATATCTGCGAATAACGGTCAAGGCCCATGTACCTCCACCAGGAGACACATTCTTGATGGGAACACATATGGTCACTATCACAAAGATGACGGACAAGTCTCAGGTCATGGAGGTCGATGAGGACCCCAACTCAGTCTTTCTGGAGGATTCGAAGAAAACGGTGATGAGCAAAGACAAGGCCGCATCAGTCATCATGAATAAAAAGCACACGGCAGCGACATCGGTGATGAAACAGTTTGCTTTCTCAGTGCTGGAACAAAGAAATGGATCGTACTACACAGCCCCCATGAGGAGACAAGTACCGTCTGACACTCCACCACAGGAAGTAGCTCAACCTGTCTCTGCCTTTCAACAAGCTGTCGATGAGAGAATGGACGCACGCAATGCAGAACTCAAAGCAGCCTTGGACGAGGTGCGCACGTTGAAGGCACAACTATCAGCTGAGCTGGCCGCCCTACGACGTCGCAACGACGGGAGAAGCCGCAGTCCGACTCGCAATGGCGCAGCTTAACTCAAGAGGCAAGGATACGATCGAGAGGGACAAGCTGGTCCTGATCTCGGCCAACATTACTTCCTGGAAAAAGAATATTACTTCCTTATTTTCACTCCCTGCTGATCTCTATGTGGTACAGGAGACGAGGCTCACAGCCTTGGCTACGGAACGTGCGGAGAGTTTGGCAAAGACAAAAGGCATGTCCTTCATCGGAGGCAAGCCGCTACCAGTAAAGCAGCTTCGTCCCAAGACATCTCCGACCATGGAATGTACAGCCATCCACGGTGGGGTTGCCATCATGGGACGACCTTCCTTCAACTTACAACCGTGTACTGCGAGAACGACGGCAGCCAAGCAGGTATACGAACTATCACGACATGTGC